TTGGGAAGCCTCCTGTAGTATTCTCTTGTGTGTGTTTCTAAGCCTTCTTGACTGATCTCCTGGTACCAAATCTTTGCTCCTGCCTTTTGACCACGCCTTTTGGATTTCATTTTTGGATTTCCCTGGATACCGGACTCATTGCCTCCCTAATTGACCAAGCCCCTGGATTATGTCTTTTGGATTGTCCCTGTGCTACTCCGCGTCTTTTCAGTTCCTTTAATTATTGTTGAGCAAGTTCTCTGGTTGGCCCGCAGATGTTAACGCAGTCCCAGAAACACAATGCATGTTCCACCCCATTGGAATAACTAAAAATCCAAGACTTCAAGATCTGTAATACAGCGACCCAACTGAGCTCAGCACTCCAAACACGCACAGGCACTGGGCATCTCTGTGCTGCCCCTCTGCCCCCTGCCCAGCCCCTCTGTACCTTGAAGTGGAAGATGCCAGCGTACTCTTCAGACAGGCTCTGGTCTCCGGGCACCACATTGTTGAACAGCGGCTGGTGGAGAGTGAGACATGACAGGGCAGCCAGCAGCCAGCAGTCACCTGCCAAGAGAGAGGCAAGTAAACTACCGCTGCCCACTGCACCAGGACAGACGGACAGGCAGAGACCAGACCTCCATGCACCAGCGAGAGAGAGATACTCCCACCCCCCGCATTAGGAGGGCCAGCGTCATGACGGAGGGAGAGGAATGAGGCTGGATCCCAGCAGAATAAGACGACAGGTGTGTCTAGACAACGCTTCTTTGGCCTCAGTTCTAAGTCGGCTTTTACTGCATTTTCACACCCCCAAAACCCAGAATCCGGGGTCAAGCAATCAGTGTTAGTAAATACAACATGCTAGAACACGTGGATTATAGAACCAACCATTTCCCAGAAGTAAAATAATGATTATTTTCAATGTACCTGCATTTACCTGCAAGTTAGAAAATGGTAATTAAATGAAAGTTTGATGGCGGGTCTGGAAAAAGCTTCCCAGTTGTGTTGCTGAAGCCACTAGCCAGGTCTGTTTCAAAACGCATCTGGATGATCCGCAGATCGCTCAGCTACGATGTGTCAAACAACCCAGATGGGCCCAATGGCTCTTCTCATTGGAGCCATTCTAATGTTCTTAATTTGACCAGAGCAGGCTGTACAGGAGCTGGTCCTAAAAGAGGTTTAAACCCCCTCGTCGGTTAAATCATCATAAAGATTAAACGCAAGTGAGCCGCTGAAGCAGTCCAGCACACTGCTGAGCTGGCAGGCCCTTTCTGACCGAAGGCAGCTCTGCAAGACAGCTGCTTCGAAATTCAGGATGAAAGCTCAATGTGCAACTGTCTGTGAGGCCGACTGTTAATCAAGGAGCACAACCGCCTAAAAACCGAAAAAGACACAAAAAGGTCTTGAGCCTGGCAGGGCATTAATCCGGCCCTGCTGATGTCCAGGCTCAGCTCAGCATCCTGGGCCTGGGTCAGTCCTGGCACCTTGGCACCTCCCTGCCAGGCAGCTGCTCAGCCGCTAAGCTGTGCATCCAAAATGCAGGTGAGAGAGACACAGACACACACACACCATGCTAGCCATCCACCTATCAAGGTCTGTCTGCGGTGACCGCAGCAGAGTAACCTCAAAAAGGGAGTTGGACCGGGACGTGGTGAGGAATGGGAGCAGCTCAGATACTGTGTGAGCTGGCAGGTTTTGTCCAGCTGCTGCCTGTGCGTGCCTGCATGTGTTTTAGTTTGGGATAGAGGCGAAAGGCGGGGGGTGGTGCCCCCGTGCTCCTGGCTGTAAATTCCTTTCCTCTCTGGCACTCAGGTTGCGCAACAGCCCTGCAGAACACTCACACGGCTCCAGTAAACAGAAACATCTGCTCGGGGTGCAGCCACAGAGCCCCTGCCCGCATAGCGAACGAGGGGCTGCTGAAAACAGCGCCCCCCAACTTATCGGAGCTCCGGAGTCCCATTTTATTTTAACTGCCTTCTCGAGAAGCACTGCCGGTGCAGCAGCTCCTACCCAGCTGTCCTTGGCAGATGTCGGTGGTACTTGCTGTGCCCTCGATAAACTTGGGCTCCTTGCTGATCTCCTGAAAGAGAAAATTAGGGAGTTTTTTTTTTTGTTTTAAGTGCAGGATCAATGAATCTCAAACCCCGTCAGTGAGGTCTCGGATCCTTTGCAAAAAAGTAGCATTGAGACTCTCGGAGCAGGACAGAGATATGAAGACAGACGAGGAACCGAGGTGCAGGTAATTAGAACAGTCTTGTTGGCTGGCCAGCAAGACGCATTTTCCTCATTTCTGCTCTCATATCCTTCTCTGCTGATCTTGTTTCTGTTCTGGCTTGTGTCACTGATGCTGGGCAGAACTGACATGAAGGAGAAGAGCACTGAATATTCCACAGCATTCACTGCGATAGCAGGGGCACCCATCCTGCGCTGACAGGAAGCACCAACCATAACCAAGACCTGGAGGCACTTCTGTACACAAAGGGTGGTGGGGGTCTGGGACAAGCTACCCGGCCATGTTGTTGAAGACAAGATTCACTAGCAACCAAACAACCTAGATGTGCAGAAAGACTTTTTTCTAGAGTGTGAACTGTCTTATATTCTTGTGGTTCTATTTATTAATTTTTAAGCAATAATCAAGTGCTGGAGTTCTTGTCATCTTATGCTGGAGAGCTGTAAATCAAACAATGTTGGATCAAATCTGGATCACAGGCAATGCTTCAGCAGAGCTCACATAAACTCCCCTGACCTGTCCCCTTCAGAAGGAGGGTAGCCACTCTCTGTTTTTTTCCTTCCTCGTCCTATTTTTGTATTTTAATTGGAATGGAAACATGCCATTCTTATCATACTCCGAGACAGGTCTGGTCAAAAATAGATACTAATAAAAATGTACTGTATATACACTGGCTTTCATTTAACTTCAGCCGCGCTACACAACGCGGAAACTCAAATGAATATAACATTTGTAATATACTGGTTTTGAGAAGAATCAACAACGAAAACAACACGTTCAGTGGGAAGCTGAAAAGGAAGGCAGGCTATGAACTGGAATATTTAAAGTTACTTTATATATATTAATCAATAGAATCCGACCGGCGTAGCGGGCACGAAGCGCGGTACCTTGGGTCGACGCCACACGACGGCTTTGGCCGGGTCCGGGTCCGAGGGCAGCCCCAGGGAGTCCTGCTGAGCCGGGAACTCCGGGTCCTCGAACAGCGAGCCGGACCGCAGGCACTGGGCGCGCAGGCTCGCGAACTCCTGGTTCTTAAACTTCGCCGGATTGCTCCGGGAACCGACTGCTGGCCCGGCGCTCGACATCTCTCGGCCCGGACTGTTGGCGGCGTTTGCTGTTGTTTTCTTAGAATCTAGGCAGGCACTGTACGGAACGGTACGGTACAGGACGGGACGGGACGGGACGGAACTCGGCTTCTTGGAGAGCTGGGCTCCTGTCTGGAGGCGCTGGGGTTTTTAAACACGCCTCGGAGAGTCCGGCTGGGAGAGTCCCGCCTAGCGCCCCCGGCCACCTGTCAGCGGAGGCTACGATCAGCGCCGGGCAGGGAGGTCTCCGCCCGAAAGGGGACCTCGGTGTGAGTTTATCGAGGTGCAAGTTCTCCTCCTTTAACCGCAGCGAGTACAGTACCTCACAGTGCAGTGAACAAATGTCAATTGCGTAGCGGCTGCGCGTTAAATATGTACCACCACGCTGCTTTCTCAGGATGCGATACTTAATGTTAAGACAACATAATCGGATCAGCTGTAAATCGATTATGACAGAAATTTACATTTTCCTTTAGCTCGTACCAATTTAGGAAAAAGGCAGGCGGGTGAAAATCGAGAACTTCACCATTTCAGTACACCAGATCTTGACGACGCTTACAGGAGACGGGCCATTCTGCCGTGTAGTGCGTTTGATTGTACCTAATGGATCCGGAGATCTCGTCCAAAGTTATAGTGAAAAAACAGCCTTTCGGCTGTCACTGAGCAGTTTGTACCAGACCCCTACAACCCTCAGTGCAAACGCCACCGGGCCTGATGATGCATTATCACTTTTATGGGGACACCATATTGTGAAAAAGGCGCCGTCCTGTTTGTGTTTTGTTCAGTTGAGCAGTCTGAAGTGTTTTTGAGTTGTGTGGAGTTCTCTGGTTCAGCTGGTGGCTAGGTTAACGGTAATGTGACAGGGTGTTAACCACCAACGAGCCCTACATTTACACATACATGCTTCAGTCACAGCAAAGTTAAAACGGTCGAGGCTGATTTGATGTGCAAGAGCTCGTCATATACAGTGGGTACAGAAAGTCACCATCCCCTTTCAAAATGTGTACCTTTTGTTGTATGACACTCTGAAAATAAAAACAAATTAGCATTAGCCAAGTGAAAATACAATTCTAAAACATTCTGAAAATTAATTAATATTACAACAGTGAAATACCTTATTTGGATAAGTGAACACCCCCCTCACAATTGCATTTGTAAACTTGCTCAGGTATAACCAATCACCTTACAGATCACACAACAAACTAACTGGCTCCCACCTGTGATCAGTTGTGGTGATTGTGATTGGTTCAGAATAAAAGCAGCTGTTTCTAGCGAATTCCACTGTTTGGAAGTGCATTTCAAAGCAAATAATCCACTATGGATGGAAAGATGTGCTCAAAAGAGCT